ATATATATATATATATATATATATCACTAACTCTATTTGCCTCGCTATTTCACAGCGCGACATATAGGATGACAGACAGCGCAGGTAATTAAAATGATAGAAATTGGGTCATTGATAACGTGCTCCTCATTTCGTTGCTTCCTCAACCTCGTCCGTGCTATTACGCCTCAGGGAGCCTACTAATAACGTGGTTTCTCTTCGCGTGCCTTGACTATAGATCATCATATTTTCTGTTGCATAATAGGCGATTTCCGTGGAATCTTTCTCATTTGGCTATGTTTGACGTGATTATGAAGAGTGAAGTAACCTATTTCAGCCAATTATAATTCTACGTGATAGATTTACAATTATTATTTCAGTATTTAATTTTCAATCATCGGGAGGAGGAGGAGGAGGAAGAAAAGGAGGAAGCGGAGGAGAAGAAGGGGGAGGGGGCATGATCGAGCGAGAGAGGGAGTGAGTGAGGGGAGAGAGCAACAGCGAGCGAAAGAGAGGGATGCGATGGCTAGACATCGTCCGTGGCTTATCACTGCTAGTGTTGCTGATAGGGTCTATGTCCCCCAGGGTACTGCCGGAACGTACCCTGGGTATGGTCCGGTATACTGGAACGTACTCTGGTAACTATCTAGCTGATATGGTTAGGGGTAGGGTTAGGGTTAGGGTTAGTGTTAGGGTTAGAGTTAGGGTTAGGGTTAGGGAGTAGGCGTAGGCGACTCCCTAGACTCGTTAGTGGAGTAGGCGAGGTACGGTCCGGCATATTAGATAGTAGTATTTAGTACCAGGTACGTTCCGGTATACCGGACCGTACCCAGGGTACGTTCCGGCAGTACCCTGGGGACCATAGACCCTATCAGCGCTAGGGCTGGACTAGGTACCCTAGGCTGGACGTTTGCTACTATAGCGCGCGCGTGGGACCCCACGGCTCACACAGCACTAATACTCGCCGCCACCATTTCGTTTTTCGCTGCGTCGCAATGCTTTCGCTATTGATTTTTATTGGCGCTCGGTCGTCTTGCTGCTTGTACGGTCGACGACATACGGACGAGATGTGTGCACACGCTGTATTTACTACTACGCACCCGTGACGGGACAGCTCTCAGTAGCGCTGAATGGGTCTATGTCCCCCGAGGTACTGCCGAAACGTACCCTGGGTACGGTCCGGTATACCGGAACGTACCCTGGTACTATCTAATATGCCGGACCGTACCCCGCCTACTCCACTAACAAGTCTAGGGAGTCGCCTACGCCTACGCCTACTCACTAACTCTAACCCTAACCCTAACCCTAACCCTAACCCTAACCCTAACCCTAACCCTAACCCTAACCCTAACTCTAACCCTAACCCTAACCCTAATCCTAACCCTAACCATATCAAATAGTGACCAGGGTACGTTTCGGTATACCGGACCGTATACTGCCGGAACGTACCCTGGGCTCATAGGGTCTATGTCCCCCAGGGCGCAAGTGATGACACAGCGTCGACACGACTCCACGCGACAGTCACAGACTGACAGCGCTAATATGCACCTAGGATCATATGCACGGAAAATATAACTACTGTAAGTATTACACTATTACTCAATGATTTCTTCTGTACACCATTATAAAACACACAAACCATTCAAACCACTTCAAATTGGTATCATGTTAGTTGTGGTATGCTATAGCAAATCCATACATGCTATTAATACCACCTAGAATGGTTTATCAAATCTCTCTCTCTCTCTCTCTCTCTCTCTCTCGGATGGAATATCTTGAAACTGTTTGCGGAACTTATTCTGGTGATAGAGGACGTTTCACGTACATAACTACAGTGTTCACAAACGGCTCCATTGTTTATAGTTATCCACTAACATGCACACTTTACCACACACAATTTCTTGTAATAACTCATTCCGTCATTGAGCAGCACATAATTCATCCTACACTTCATGCAACGAAAGTAAATTTCAATTCTTTTTGCATGACAATATTAAAAACGACAGTTAACTACAAAAATGAGAAAGTTAAAAGACAATTTTATACAAAGTTAGTAACTCGTAGGTTTCGCACTTGATCTCTTCATATCATGTAGAGAAATCTCATACCCTTTAACCTATACCCTCCATGTGCAAACAAACGATAAGGCTATAATCTCTTTTTATGACCGTATATGCCAAATTAAAACACCTTGTTCATTTCCTGCTTGAGACATTGAGAATTGTGGATTCTTTCACTTCACAAATAACATCTAAAAATGATCCAAAACAATCACTTCATCACAATAAGTAAAACACGATTCATAAATATACAATTCACTGTAGCTATCAAGCTTACAAATACCATCCAATAGCAACCAAAACCAGTTCACAACCAAATTACGTTCCTGTAGTTTATAGAAAAGGCAATGTTAATGTTACATGAAGCAACGGAACATCCGGTTTATGTGTGGCGCATGCGCTGTGAAATAGTGGTGAGCTGTGCATCCGGGTACTTCGGGGAGAAAGATGTGGTGGCGGGTTAGGGATATTTCTCATAGCTCTCAGCTCCTTTACTCGCTCCACATCTCGCCACCAGATGTAAAAACTCAATAAATAATAATAAATAATAAGATAATAAAACTCAAAATTCATATAGACACGTCTTCGCTATAATCTCTGTGAATATTGAGTTTATTGAAGCGCAATTAGATTGATTAATTAATTAGCAAATATGCACGCGCGGTATCGCTCACAGGCTAATATACACACAGCTATGGGCGGCAGGAAAGTGTATCTCGCGAACAAGTTGGGTTATAATTCTAGAAATTTAGATACATATAGACACGTCTTAGCTATATAGCTAATATAGATATAGCTATTTAGCTATATCGCTGTATAGCCTCCGTGAATTTTGAGTTTTATTATCTTATTATTTATTATTATTTATTGAGTTTTTACATCTGGTGACGAGGTGTGGAACGAGTAAAGGAGCTGAGAGCTATGAGAAATATCCCTAACCATGGTTGGCGTCACCCAGTGAGAAGCGAAATGCTACGTGTGCGAACATGAGTGTATATAATTGTGGCCTGGTATGAGTGATACGAGAGCAGACACACAGGACCGGGTACTACGAGCTCGAGGCTCGTCAGTGGAAGAATATTCAGTGTTGGCAGCGGAACAAGGTGAGATAATTATGAGGCAACATTGGTAGCAGAAGGTAGTTTGCAAGATGGCGGCGAATTACAAGCAACCTCCGAAGTTTGGTGAAACGTCGTACGAGGCATGGGTGAATGAAATAAGCATTTGGCAGCGCATGACTGATTTAGAGGTGAAAAAACAGGCATTAGCACTGACATTATCGTTAACTGAGAAAGCGAGAGAAACGGCAGTTGATATTTCTGTCGACGAGTTGGATCACAACAACGGAATGAAAACGTTGCTTACAGCGCTCAATAGTGTTTAAGAAGAAAGACAAGGACCTGGCTTATGAGGCGTATACGATGTTTGATTCATTCAAACGAGTTGAGGGAGTGAAAATAGCGGATTACATATACGAGTTTGAGGTCTTGTATTCAAAGTGTAAGAAACTAAAGATGGAGTTACCAGATGCTGTGTTGGCATTCAAGTTATTAGATAATGCTAATTTGTTGGCGAGAGAGAAACAGTTGGCAATGACTGCGTGCACTGATTTAACATTAATGTCTATGAAATCAGCGATGAAAAGACTTTCTGGTGAGAGAACTGGTATTTCTTCAGAGGGAGGAGCTTTTGGTTGTACTTCTGCAGAACCTATAAAAGTCAAACAAGAGTCAGTGTTTTTTGCTTCTAGACAGAAAGAGGGCAGTAGAGATACCAGTAAACGATATGTCAACAAAATGCCAGTTGGAACTAATCCACTTAACAGATTCGGGAAGAGAACAACCTGTGCCATTTGCAAAAGTGTTTTTCATTGGATGAGGCAGTGCCCTCACAAAGCTGAACAGGCTAATCTCAAAGATAAACGGAACATGACGAAAACACACAACAGGAAAATGTAGGCAATGACACAGAAACCTGTAACATAACTTTGTTCACAAAAGAGTCCTCTGTTAATGAGATACTTGTGACGGAGTCGTTTGGTGCAACTATTATCGATACTGCTTGCACTAAAACTGTTTGCGGTGAGAATTGGTTGAAACAGTATGTAGGTAATATTGAGTCTGCTGACAAAGGAAAAATAGTAAAGCAAAATAGTATGAAACACTTTAAGTTTGGCGATGGCCAGATTGTCAAGTCTTGTTAGAAGATTACTATACCTGCGAAAATAGGAGATACACAGTGTAACATTGAAACTGAAGTAGTTTGTGCTGACATTCCTTTACTACTCAGCAAACAATCACTTAAACGTGCAAGTACAGATTTAGATATGTCCAAGAATAAGGTGACAATGTTTGGTCAACCAGTAGATTTGGAGCTGACATCTAGTTGTCATTATTGCATAGACATTTCAGGTAACAAGTTAGGTGGTTGTAGATAACAATCACAGTTTTCCAAGGATGAAGTCTTGATTGTCAGTGAAGAAATGAGCAGTAGGCTGACCGTTTGAAGTCTTTGTTGAAAAGTGCAGGGGTAAACGGTGATGGTGTTTTCACTCTTTTGAGCAGTGGCATGGATAAGTGTGGTCTTTGTGTAAAATTTAGAAAGACTACCCCGAGACCTGTTGTAGGGTTACCCATGGCAACATGTTACAATGAAACTGTAGCCTTGGATTTGCATGAATTAGACATAAACGTTTGGGTGTTTCACATCATAGACATGTTTTCAAGGTTCAGTGCAGCATGTATCATAAAAACAAAGCATTCTTCGCAGATAGTGAACAAATTTATTACACACTGGATTAGTGTTCATGGACCTCCAAAAAAGGTCTTCAGTGATAATGGTTTACAGTTCAACAACCAAGAATTTAGAGATATGGTTGAGAATTTCAACATTGAAGTAAAACATTGGCTGCTTTTAGTCCCTGGAGTTGTGGGGTTGTGGAGAGACACAATGGGATTTTAAAAGAAATCTTAGTGAAAGTGAAAGCGAGTATAGCTATTATTGGGAAGTTGCTCTTCCGTGGTCAGTGAATGCTAAAAACACATTACATAATGTACATAGGTACAGTCCATATCAGATTGTGTTTGGGCATAATCCAAATTTACCAAGTGTGCTGACTGATAAACTCCCAGCTTTGGAAAGTACCACTATCAGTGAATGTGTGGGAAAACACATTGCAGCACTCCATGATACAAAGAAAGCTTTCTTGGCATCAGAAACGTCTGACAGACTAAGACGTGCTTTGAGGAGAACAGTGAGGTCTAAAGACAAATTTTTTTTAACTGGAGATAAAGTTTATTATAAACGTCATGATTCACGAGAATGGAAAGAACCTGGAACAGTCATTGGACAAGATGGTGTTGTGGTGTTTGTCAGACATGGCAGGACATATGTTCATGTACATCAGTGTTGGTTGTCTAAAGTAAAAATGTCAAATGACTGTGAAGGAACAAGCAATGAACTTGATACTTTATCAGAAGAGTCAAATGGACAGAAAGAGACAGAGTCTTGTGTTGAGAGAAGTCATTCAAATGGAAAGTCTATGTCGATGTGTGAAGGTCAATTTGATCAATAAAATATCAGCTCTGATGAAGAGCCTACACAAGACAGAATCATTTCGACAAAAGGGGGAGCTGTAAGTGACAGAGTGCTTGTAAAGAAGGGTCAAACTGTTAAATATGTTGACAGACAGAGTGATACTTTTATAGTTGGAAAAGTCATAAGCAAAGTTGGTAAAGATACTGGAAAAAACAAAAACTAGTTCAATATAGAATATTTGCAACATCCTTCCTAGGAAGGGATGAGAGAGTCCGTTGATTTAAGTAGAGTTAATCAGATAGAGATTGTGCTCGCTGATGCTGGTGATAGTGACACTATATGTCCAACTGTGAATGAGAATGGATGTGGAGGAAAATAATTCAGTAGCTGTCGGTGACAGTGACATTGACAATTGCTTTGAAACAAGTCAAGAGTCAGTAATGATATTGGAAGAAGAGACTTTCACTGAGGCAAAGTTCAAAGAATTGCATAGTTGGAAAAACAACAAGGTTTTTGAAGAGGTCGCAGATGTAGGCCAGAAGTGTATTTCAACACGTTGGATTTTGATTATGAAAGAAACCCCAGAGGGAGTTATTCCTAAAGCTAAATTAGTTGCGAGGGGTTTCGAAGAACTCTGTACTAGTGAGACACCAAGAGCTTCGTTAACATGTACTATGGAGTCATTGAAGATGATTTTAGCAGTCATGGCACAGAAAGGGTGGGAGCCATTTTCTATGGACATAAAAACAGCTTTTCTTCAGGGTCACCTACTTGACAGGGATGTGTTTATTAGACCTTCTAAAGAAGTTAATACTTCTGGTGTAGTTTGGCATCTTAGGAAATGTGTATAAGGTCTAGTTGATGCGTCCTTATATTGGTACAATCAAGTGAAAACTGTGATGCCAGATCTGGGTGCCAAGATATCAAAAGTGGATCCTGCAGTTTTTCTGGCTAGATCACAGTGGAGGAGAGGCAATTGGTGTACTGGCAAGTCATGTCGATGATTTTTTATGGGGTGGAACCCCAGAGTTTGGGCAGACTGTTATCAACAAAGTAAAGGATGTACTTAGTGTTGGAAAAGAAATCAGTGCTGCATTTAGGTATATTCCGATGGATTTGTTGTGCCATCAGAAACACATTGTGCTACATCCAGATCACTATGTCAGTAGTGTCACTCCAGTAAACCTAGACAAACACAGAATAGTGTTCAAAGACTCGTGCCTGACAGAGGATGAGAAAACTTTGCCGAGGTCTAAAGTGGGACAGTTACTCTGGGTGGCTCGTCACAGTAGACCTGACATTTTATTTGAAGCGTCCTGTTCAGCTAGTAGAGTGAAATATGCTAGAGTTGTATTTATTAAAGTCAACAAGGTTGTGAAAAAATTGAAGTCAGATAGGGTACGCCTTAAATTTCAATATGTTGAAGACAGTGACTTGCAACTTGTTGTATTCAATGATGCGTCATTTGCCAATTTGAAAAACGGTGGGTCACAAGATGGTCACTTTATTGTACTCATCATGAGTCATGGGACAAACAGGCTTGTTTTCTCCAATCTGTTGGAAATCTAAGCGGATACGACGTGTTGTTCGAAGCACACTTGCAGCTGAAACCCTGTCACTCGCTGATGGAATAGACAGTTGTGTGTTTCTGGCTACACTGTTTGCGGAGATTACTAAAGGTGTAAGTAGTCCTGAAATGTTACCAGTCGTGTGTGTTGTGGATAATCGTTCGACAAGCAATCAGGTCGACAAAGTTTGTTGAAGACAAACGTCTCAGGTTGGAGATAAGTGGCATAAGGAACTAATAGCAAACAAACAAGTATGAGATGTGTGCTGGACTCAGGGCACTCAGCAGTTGGCAGACTGTTTGACCAAGAAAGACGCATCATCTTTCAGTCTGTTGAAAGCCATCAGTGATGGTTTTTGGAAAGCTGCATCCTGAACTCTTCTCACGAACTTGTATGCAGCTATGTGTATATATGTATATACGTTAAATGTTGAGCAGTCCATTATAAGAAAAAGAAAGAAAAAGATAACATGGAGATTGTTAATGTTACATGAAGCAACGAAACATCCGGTTTATGTGTGGCGCATGCGCTGTGAAAGAGTGGCAAGCTGTGCATCCGGGTACTTCGGCGAGAAAGATGTGATGGCATCTCCCAGTGAGGAGGAAAATGCTACGTGTGCGAACATGAGTGTATATATATTTGTGGCCTGGTATGAGTGATACGAGAGCAGAAACACAATACCAGGTAGTACGAGCTCGAGGCTCGTCAGTGGAAGAATATTCAGTGTTGGCAGCGGAACAAGGTGAGATAATTATGCCTGAGGAAACAGGCAACATATCGGAGATTCTAGTATCGTTGGGCGGGATGATTCTCCACTACCGAGCGCACCTTTCAAGCCTCATTCCGTCTTTATCCGAGGTCCTGAATTACTCGCGGCATCATGCCGACCCACGCTAATGGTGCAAGTTTCTGGCGATGGTGATCATGACGTAGAAGACTATGCCAATCGCGACGCAGGCGACGATCACGTTACGAGTGACTCGTGAGGCTTGCCACGACTCATCGTATCGCTGCTCCATGTACAGACTTCTAACCTGTTAAACGACATAAAAAACCGTTTGTGCTCATTACGACACTAAACAAAATGAAAGTGTCAATGACACTGTAGCTCACCTTGGGTGTGATAGAAGAGGGAGGAGGGATATATAACTACCGTTATATAGCATATCTCCCATTATATACTCTTGATACTGATATATGCATAAGTTTTGATGCGAAAATAAATGTTTCAGCATCTGAAAGTCTGAAATCTTGACGAGAGATTGGCTGCTATGCCTAAATGACGCCATTTTTAGGTTTTTTCGAATATCGCAGGCCCAAATAAAAACATAAAATATTCCAGTCAAAATTACTGATAACGAAGAATCTAAAACACGAATATTACACGTATATAGGTATGATTTAGTGGTTGGACCAGTTAGACGAATATAAACGTAATAGCGCGTTGTCATCTTCTCCCATTAAGAGTAACTAACTGTTTGGCGGCTAGCCTTACACATTCACATTTACCAAAATTTAACAAATTCGAATAAAATTTAGATGGCCCATTTTTCATTTTTTGCAAAAAGGGGATGGCCTCGAAAAAGTATAGGTCGACTGAGCGCACTTGCTCCAAAATAGGAAGTTCAAATCTCTCCATAGGAGGAAAACTGTTATTCAATTTTAAACATGTGGTCAAACGGTGTCTTGAGTTATCGTGCTGACCGCAGGCAGATCAATTGAAATGCATTGGTGAAATTTTACAAAATCTACCCAATTTGCATATATTTAAAAAAAAAATGGTCAAAACCCTGTGTGCATATGTTATTGGGCCAGTTCCTTCATTCCATTCACAATGCAAGAAATGAGCAAAACCCATTGAAACCTGAACTGACTTGTGCGCCATTTCATTTTGCCAAAAATGTGGACGTTTGGCTCGAATAGTTTAGGTCAACTGGCGTGCCTCCAAAATAGGACGTTCAATACCTCTCCTATAGCGACAGTAACAACTATATGGCAATTTGAAACATGTGGCGTCAAACGCGTTCTTGTTATCGTTGACCATAGTTAATAGCTAATATAGTTATAGTTGTTCAATGGTTGACGGACGCGCACCCCATGCAATTAGCCTCATTCTTTGACGATGTCAAGGCGAGCTAAAAAATGGGTGCTTTTAGAGTGAACACGGTCAGTGTAAATAGCTTTACAAATGATAAATTTACGTGATATTTGTACTAAATTAAATCTATGAAATGTAATTAAAATATTATGAAAGTGTTCTCGCAACTTTTCAAGCTTAGTTTGCTTCTTTTAATACTCTCCATTTTGCTGGTCTATTTGATGACTCCACCTAACATCAATAAAGATGCCATATTTTTCTCTAAAAAATAAGTAAAATCGTGCCAGGTTTTTTTCATTTTTTTAAAGTACGCAACTAAAAATTTTTTATTATTCAAGTACGATTTGAGGATATATTTAGCACTGTTAGCTATTTACCTTTATGTTTTGTAAAAATACAATCAAACTTTTACAAATAGGATTTTCAAGAAATTCAATACACAGTCAATTTAAGCTTTACTAGGTACACTTCACTTGCTCAGGTCATACCACGGTTCTGAAGGTACTATACGTGAGTGGCCTGAAACTAGAGGTATACTAATGAAGGTGGTAACTGGGTTTAAAAAAATTCTCGCCTCAAGATCCAACTCGCTATCTTTGTATTTTGGGGGGCGAGACACATAAAGCAATGCTGTTGTCACTACTCACTATCAAGTGGTGATAACTTTACATGCTTCACTTCTTCACACAGAGTACATTACAAATACAAATAAATGAAGCATTTTTGTCCAAATTTTTTTTTTTTTGTTTTTTACAAGGCATTCACGCTCTCGTAATGGTACGAAACTTTAAAAGATTTGCTACAAAATTCTATCGATCCAGTGCACCTAATAAGCAATTTATCCATCAATGCGAGTGAATACACATACGGACAGAATGTCATGGACAGTCAGTCCCTATCACTACTTACACGCATGGAGTATATTATCGCAATGATTCCTCCAGGCCAGAAGCAACAGATGCAGACAAGAATAGACTGAATCAGGTAGTCCGGTGGCTTTGTATTGGTCTGCACGATGACCATTCCTCGGTTAGTCTGGGGCTGGCCAACAACGGGAAGTGCCTGCTAACGATGACAATGCCGATGACAATGCATCGTCAGCGTGTTTTTGTCTGTCGCATAATTTAAATCGCGTTCACTTATATCATTGCGTTGACATGGATGTTTAGGGCCCTTCTGTCAAATTCCTAACTTCGTCGGGATTTGGCGGGAACGTCTCGTCGTCATGCAGGTCACGCGCTTTCATGCGCTCCGACAAAACCACATATGCTGTTGTTTTCTTAACTTCCACCAATCAAACCGCTTTTATTTCATTGTATTGCATCTTCTGTTTTAGCAAATCTAGTCTTCACAGGCGATCAGACATCTGCTACTAGAAGTGTACTAATTATGTGTCAGACTACTCTATACGGTGATATGATAAAAACTCCGCTTCGGAAAGAATGTACGTAAAACGCTTAGTCCCACAATGACACATTAAGGGATTCACCGAAGCCAAAAGGCCATTAACTGTATTCTGAACAGACTCACCACATACGTCACACCGCCTACGACTTGAGGAGGGTACTGGCCACCAGGTGGCATACCGCCTACGACTTGAGGAGGGTACTGGCCACCAGGTGGCATACCACTGACGTTTGTATACTTGACGCCACCATGCGCGTACTGCGGATAGGGTACGCCTCCACCAGGTGGCACTGGGTAACCCGCCATGGAAACATTCCCCATAGGATAACCGCCTTGTAGGTTACTGGCTCCCATCGGCTGGCCGCCTGTTGGGTAAACCTGACTGGGTGGCTGCGGTCCATACGCCTGACCTGCTAGTGCAGGATTATAAGCTGCAGCAGGTGGAGCTGTATATGCCGGTGGCACCGGCCCCCTTGAGGGCTCGGCGTCACAAGGCAGGTTTCCTGGCAGGCCGACGGCTTCCTCATATGTAGTCGTTGGCGCTGGCCCCAGGTTTTGTCGCTGGTGGCCCAGCAGGAGCAGACGGCACGGCATCTGAAACGTCATGAGGGTGGATTTATTCTCTGCAGAGTGACAAATGAGTCGCATGAAGTTGTGTAGAAATTATGGTATACATTACAGGCTGGAACTCACTAACCTAAAATGTTTAAATCACGTGACAACTAATTGTGATTTGATTGGCCATGCATGAATTGTTACAATCGGCTGGCTCCCCAATCGCAGACCCTCGGGGCACACTAGGCGATTGCAGCCAGCCGGCTCAAATAATTANGGCTCGAATGTTTAGTCACTGGCGGATGCTCCAAAAGTAGGACGTTCAAACCTCTCCCATAGGAGTAAAACTATATGCAATTTGAAAACATGTGCGGTCAAACGGTTCTTGATTTCGTGACCATGTAATATAGTAGTTTGTTATTAGTTGTCCAATGTTACGGACGGAGGGCACGACTCCCTCTACGGACGGCGGACGACACCCCCTGACAATAACTCATCTTGACGATGTCAAAGCGAGCTAAAAATTGGTGTTTTAGAGTGAACACGTCAGTGTAAATAGCTTTAGCAAATGATAAATTTACGTGATATTTGTACTAAATAAAATCCATGAAAGTAATAAAAGTATATGAAAGTGTTTCTGTCAACTTTTCAAGCTTAGTTTGCTTCTTTATACTCCCCATTTTGCTGGTCTATTTGATGACATCCACCTAACATCAATAAAGATGCCATATTTTTTATCTAAAAAAGAAGTAAAATCGTGCAGGTTTTTTCATTTTTTTTAAAGTACGCAACTAAAAAATGTTATTATCAAGTACGATTTTGAGGATATATTTAGCACTGTTAGTATTTACTCTTTATGTTTTAAAAATACAATTAAACTTTTACAAATAGGATTTTCAAGAAATTCATTACACAGTCAATTTAAGCTTACTGAAGGTTAGCACTTTCACTTCGGCAGGTCATACACACGGTTCTGAAGTACTATAGAGGAGTGCGCTGATAACTAGAGGTAGTACTAATGAGAGGTGGTAACTGGTTCTAAAAAAGATTTCTCGGCCTCAGAGATCCAACTCGTCTATCATGTTGTAGATTTGGGGGCGGACATCAGTAAAGCATGACCTGGTTGTCAACTACTCACATCAGTGGTGAAAATCTTACATGCTTCTACGTTCTTCACACAGAGTTACTGATGTAAGCGAGTATACAGACGATAATAAGCATCATCACGATGGCAATTGCATGTAAGTTGGTTAGCGAAAGGCTTAAAGATTTTGCTAACAGGGAAATTCTATCGATCTCAGTGCACTTAAGAGCATTTATCCATCAATGCGAGTGACATACACATAACGGATCAAGAAATGTACATGGTGAGCAGTCAGTCCCGACACACTGTACAACGCATAAGAGTAATATTATGCAACGACTTCCTCCAGACCAGAGCAACAATGCAGGCAAGAATAGACTGAACAGGTAAGTCCTGGTGGCTTTGCATTGTTCATTATGACCAATTCTCGGTTTCAGTCTGGGCTGCCAACAACGGGAAGTGCCTGCTAACTGATAACAATGCCGATGACAATGCTCTCGCGATGTTTTTGTCTGTCGCATAATTTAAATCGCGTTCACTTATATCATTGCGTTGACATGGATTTTGGGCTCATGTCAAATCCTAAACTTCGTCGGGATTGGCGGAACGTCTCGTCGTCATGAGGTCACGCGCTTTCATGCCTCCGACAAAACACATAGCTGCTGTTTTCTTAACTCCCACCAATCCAAACCGCTTTTATTTCATTGTATGATCTATGTTTTTGGCAAGATCTAGCTCCTTCAACAGGCTATCAGACTTCTGTACTATAAGTGTACTATATGTGTCAGACTATCTATACGTGATATGATAAAAACTCCGCTTCGGAAAGAATGTACGTAAAACGCTTAGTCCCACAATGACACATTAAGGGATTCACCGAAGCCAAAAGGNGGAAAGAGGAAGCCGTGATGGTCTTCCTCTCTCGTAATTAATAGTGGGGAGAGAGGAAGCCGTGATAGTTATAGAGAGAGAGGAAGCCGTGATGGTTAGAGGGAGAGAAGAAGCCATGATGGTTAGAGGTAGAGAGGAAGCCGTGTTGGTTAGAGGGAGAGAGAGAAAGCCATGAGGGTTAGAGAGAGAGAGGAAGCCATGAGGGTTAGAGGGAGAGAGGAAGCCGTGATGGTTAGAGGGAGAGAGGAAGCCATGATTGTTAGAGNGACGAGATTCACTCTTAATGGAGCGTTAGCCCGAACATCAGCGCATAATTGCAAACGCTATAATATATTCACGCTCAGGGGAGTAGATAGCGGGGAGGGGGGATATATCCCCCACTTATTGGAGGATGACGTGTACAATCATCCCCCTTACTTTTAGGCGGAAAATGAGGAAATACTGTACATTTATCTATGGAAAGCCATCGCCCCAGTTAAGAAAATGCAGTTTTCCAAGCATTTCAAATACACAATTTTACATCAATTTTAAACAACTTTTAAATTAATTAAATAAATACAATTTACTTTATATTGTTCAAGAATAAATTAAAATTTCAAATTAACATATCAACAATAACAATCAATTTAATTAACTTGCAAATTAATTAGGCAACTTTCAAAATAATTGCCTGATATATCAAATTCTTCACATCATTGTAAAAATTCATTTTCTATAACGTAACAATTTATTTCAAACAACAACCAATTTACTAACTGAATTTTTGATGAACAGATATGTTCAGACTCCAATTCAATATTTGCTTTCATCGCCCTAACAATTAAATTATAAGTTTTAAATTAATTTAGCAGAATAACGCAATCAGTTTCAGCTAAGTTTGAACTTAATTTATGTACTTTTAACATTAATTCACACCAGAATAGCGAATCTATCTGTTGGTTCAAGAATTATTACGGTAATAAAGACACAATGTATAGGCTTAGGATTACAAATTAATTGCATACAGCTTCAAACTAATATAATAAACGTTTACAACTCAAGAGCGTCATTTTAAGCAATCCAATTTTATGCAACTCCAATCTATTCAAGACCTCTGAAATCACTTACTAACGTTTACAATTTGCCGCCCACTGTGTTGTTTTCGGTCGCGTGTCAAAACTATTGAGGAAACTTCGAATAATTTTCATAGCTCTGGAATCTATTCATTATTGCTGTATCAGCTTGGCGCGTATCGAAGCCCAGCCCCAACTACAATAAAACTTCAATCATTCACTTCTAGGAAATTGCCGGGCGATGCTTCAGCGTTTAAATCATATATATATATGTCTAAGAACGTAAATTAGATACTAGCCAGTAATATAGCAACTGCGAACAAGGCTCTATATCGGTACTATTTACCTCTACTTTTCAAATTGCCAACGCTAATTTAATAAATAGAGCGGTAAATAAGTCTAAATGCACCGATATTAGAACGTAAACAGTCCGCACCATTATGTATACAACAGCTGGTGGATCCTATGCAAAACACGGAAGTAAAGCCATGCCCGAAGCTGCCCGTGAGAAGCTGTCGCAGCTAAACCTTTTTTGAACCAACAGGGTGGCGTGTTGCGGTAGAGTTGGCTATCTTCTATCATTCTAATATCTTATGTTTTTATCTATTGGTTTTACTCCACCTTGGCGTGAAAGTCTTAGACGTGATGGCGGCAGTGATGGCCGAGGCGGCGCGAGGATGTGACTCGTTGTGTCTTCCGAAATCACAGCGCTACGACCGCATCATGTCCTTATATTTCTTAAATATGGGGACCTCATTGACACACGCAAAAATCGCGATCTCCATGAACATCATAGGGAATTCTGTTGGCACCATACGGTTTCCTACGATAGAGTTGTGGCACAAATAACGAAAATAGCACAGCTGTTTTAGGCACTCGCGGCTAACTAACTGTTGAATTTTCGCATTTCCGTAATTAGAATACAGCCCCGCGCTCTTCGTTGATGACGGATGAATGGCGCGTGAACTAGACGTGACCGCGTTAACTGCGTGTAGTGTGTTGGCGAGACCTGTTTGCTTTATTTCGTAAATCAATGAAAGACCGTGGGGAGTGCATTTCGCAGAAGGAAATTAGGGCATTTTTTACGCCGCTTTCCGAAGTGAACGAGTGCGTCATTCATTAAACATTGAAGTTTTTTCTTAAAAATTAAATAATTCTGAAAGCCCTACGCGCGCTTAGCTCGATTGTTTTTAGCGCAATGAACGTAGGCTGTGGTGTGTGACGTCTTGCCCGCTGCGCTTTATGCTTGGCTTAGGCGGGCCTCGAAATGGATATCGGAGGCACGCACCTCGTCACACCGTGTTTTTTACATATAGCTTTGTGACATCAGGATGGGCGTGTCGGGAGTTCTGCGATAATAACCTCGTAATTTCTCACAATTTCTTAAGGTGCATGGAACATTTTACCAATTTAGTGGTGTCAGTTAGTCACGGATATGTCACAGTAAGTACTAACCGTATATGTTTCATCATACGTTCACCTATTTTGCACAAAGGCAGTGGACCATTGTGAAAAATTGTGTGAATATTATTTGTATTGAGACTTCCAAGTGGCCTGTGCTTTCATCAGTCTTGTACGTCAATGCACGTGCGTCAAGAGCCATAAACTCATCACAATTTCATCTCTGTTATTGTTTACGCCTGAATGCGTAATTGATCAGGGAGGGGGTGCATGTTGTAAGAGGGAGACATTTTCTTTGGGGTGCCGAAAAACACAATGTCACTTGACAATTTCATGAGCCATTTCAATTGGAAGCTCTGCATAATGGACCCCAACAAGCCTTTTGACGGACTAGTCGAGAAATTCAAAGGTCTGTATATTGGCTCCTTATTTAGCCGCCGATAAGTTCTTATTTAGAACAAAGTCTACATTGTTATCCTTCGAAATTACAGACCATTCGCTGACCGCTGTGGAGACGTGCGCCGGGCCTCGATTTGGCGCACTTGAACATCCCCGCGGTCGCGTGAGCATATCCCGCGGAACTCAGGATAAACAGCAAAGCTGTGCCACGCAATCT